GCGCCGCTGCGTCCCACCCGACACCGCCCCAGCCGTTCAAGTGCACCTGCAGCGACAAGGGGTTCGTCGCCAGCCACCAAAGCTGCTCGCTCGTGAAGCTGAGGTTGTTCGCGTGCCGGTCCGTCGCGGGGTCGCCGGTGTGGTTGTAGTGCGCCACAAAGCCGTACTCCATGGCGCGGCTAAGCGGCATCGCGTACATGTTTGCCGGGACTCCTCTTGCACCCTCGGCGATACCCAGGGCCTCCATGGCTCCTCTGCGGTGACTCCCCTCTATCGCCTCCCGCTGGGCCCCGCCTTTTCCCCCTTTTCTTTCGTCTTTTGTTTCTTTTGCCTCTTACTCGCCGTTTCAGTCGGCCCGGGGCACAGCGTCGCAATACACTAGCGCAGAGACAGGAATAAATGGACTGGAAAGCAGGGTTGGACTCCGACAAAGCGAGGGAGCTGGACAAAATGAGAGCACAGAAAGGGCTGTCGCCATCACGATGTGTGAGCGGCGGCGCGTCTCCCCGTAGTGTCGTATCTGTGTCTCGCTTCTTCCTCGGTGCCATCACAGGGCGATGGATATGGCCGCCGCGAGGGCGCTGGGAGCGAAGAGCTTCAGCCACGGCAGGGAGCGCGGCGGGGGGCCCTGTGGTGCGTAGCAGAGCTGCCAGCCGTACACCCAGGCAAAGGCGGAGCCGAGGCGCAAGTAGTCCTCCAGTGTGGCCGCAATAAAGAAGAGCTCCTCGTGGTGGCCTCCGCGCATCCCTGGCACCACACCCTTCTCTTCGTTGGCCTGCTGGTATCGCAGGCGCCCCCAAACCTCGGGGCTGTTGCAGACAACTGTCGCTCCAAAGGCACCACCGCCCATCTTTGGGAAGGCGTACACAAGAAGTACATCGCACGCCTCCCCACCGAAAAACAAATTCTCGGAGTCGCCTGCTTTGTTCGCGGCTCTGTAAAGCGCGGCGTAAGGGGCATACGGCGACAAGAGAAAGAACCGGGCGGCGTGCGGTGCGAAGGCGCCCCCGCTGACTGCAGCGCGGTCCGTCCCCTTTTCTCCCTCTTCGTCCTCCTGCACGGTGGGTCCCCGCTTCGCCGCGCGTTGGCGATGAAGGATTTCTTTCCCCGCTGCTGCCACCGACGCGGGTGGGAGCTCCTCCGTGACCTCCGCGATGGCCTCGAGCGCGTTGATGCATATCGTGGTGAGCGGATGCAGCGGAGGCAGGGGCGCTGCGGTGTGGGGACGCCTGCGCGGAGTCCCCACTTCCTCCCACAGCTCCACGGCAGGGTGTAAACCTCCAATCACAGAAAACGGCTCGGAGGCGTTGGTGACGCCCATGTCAGCCAAAAGTGTGAACAGCACGACGGGCAGTAAGGGATGCGTGGGGCAATGCGTCTGTTGTTGCTGCTGCGGCGGCTGCGTAGCGGCACGCGGGTGCCTCCAGCGGTAGCCCCACTCGTGCCCAGCGCGACGCAGCGCTGCGGTGCCCTTCAGCGTCCCCAGCGTGCCATGCCTTAGTAGCGTCTCCACGCTGCTTGCAGCGAGAAGGTCAGGCAACGCACTGCACTGCACCCCCGTCTCCCCGCGCCGAAGGGCGAAAAACACAAGCCCGTGCGCCTTTGTAAGCCGCTGCGTGGAGGTCACAAAAAGCGCCGCGGCGGATAACTTGACGGAGAGAGCCACAGTGGCGGGTTTCTGCTTCCCCGCCTTCGCCTGCATCCTCGCGCTTCACCGCCCTTCCTTTGATTTCACTCCCACGTGACACTGAGCTGCGACAACACACACACAAACGCGGTCCAAAGGAAGCAAAACCCCTTCCTCAGCCCAAACAAAGAGAGGGAGAAGCCAAGTAAAAAAGACACACACGCACACACAGAAACGGAGTGGGGAGAGAGAAGCACGAATGCCAGGGAGGGTAAAAAAGCGCCCAACCCTTACGTTTCCGCTAGTAGAATATAAAAGCAGACTAAGAGGAAAAAATAAAGAAAGAGGGACAAAAAAAACGGCAAGGACATAAATTTTCATTTTCCTCTTTTTCCGCAATAAAATGGGCCCCAAAAGGCTCATATTCCACTAGCCAATCGCGGGTCCAGATCAAATTCATGTTACGCATACTCACTAAAAGCACTGTGCAACTGGAAGTGCTGAGTGCGGCGCATCGACCGCCACCCCTGTGCAGGGCTAAGACGGCTGGGTCGGCTTTTTCTTTTTTTTGGGTGGTGGTGGTGGTGGTGGGCCCAAGTGTCAAATTCTCTTCCGCAGCCTTTACGGCGATGCATCCAAAGACAAACATTGTTGCATTTGGACCGTTTTCAGCAGCAACAAAAAACATCATCACAAATAAATAAGCAAATAACTATGTGGGCTCGACCATTCTCCCCCCGAAGGTTCCCAAAGTGCCGCTGAGAAGCAAACTAATTGCCCCCACTGAGACTTTGGGCTGCAACGCAGAGACAAACGTTTGTCTCGCACACCACAGAGAGACCCTCAGGCCTCATACACAAACCGCTGCTTCTGCACCGGGTCGCGCACGACGAACTCCTTCTCAATCAGCGTCTCCAGTGCCATCTTAAACTCACTGTTTTGAAGCTGAAACTGTGGGTTATGCTGCTGCACCGCACGGAAAAGCTCGTCGTACATGCAGGCGCGCACGCGCTTCATATGCTTGATGACTGACGCCATAATGGCGCCGGTGTGGGATAGATGCGCCTCCTCCATGATTGTGCGGGGCACCTCTGAGAGCGCCCCAACCCGCGGCGGTTGCTGCAGAAAGTGGTAGCGCGGCCGGTGTGAGGTGAAGATGGCATTCAGTGCAACGCATTCTTCCTCAGCGTCTGCCTGCACCGTAAAGAAACCATCATTGAGGAGTTTCTTCAGCCCCCGCTGCAACATCGTCTTCCCCTTGCCAATGCGCTGGGCGAGAAGCGTCCACGGTGCACCGGCGGCACCCGCCTCACTGAGGCAGTGGAAGATGTTAAACAGTTCCAGCGAACCCACAATGAGCTTCGTCGCCTGCGGGTAGCCCACGGTGAAGGTGATGGTCTCCATGGAGGTGCGAAGCCATACAATGCGCCGGCCCCTGTGTTGTGCATGGTAGACGCGCGCAAACTGACGCATAGCCCGCAGCAGCGGCTGTGGGGCATCTTCCAGCACAGGGTACGAGGGCCACGCGCGGCGGGAAAGAAGCCACAACATGGGCCGGACAGCCACCTCCTCACTGGCCCCCCCCTGCTCGTCCTGCGGCGCTAGCGGGTCGTGCCCCGCCTGTGCCTCCTCACCTGCCTCCATGTCTAGGCACATTTGAACCATCTGCCGTACGGTGTCGCACTCCAGCGGGAATAGTTCCTGGAGGTGCTCGCACGCCGCCTTTTCCGCCTGCACCTTCTCTCGTCGTGCCTCTGCCGCGTCCAGCCCGTCGTCGCGTGCCCGACTCACCGTGTAGTAGAGCAGTCGATAGGCAAGAAGTTCCTTGTACACCCGCAGGTATCTATCGGTTGAGATGACGCTCTGCGTGAGCCGTACGGCCGACAGGAACTCGTCTTCGTTGCGTAGCAGTAGCGCTGCCCCCGCCGCCCTTTCACGGCCCCTCTGCAGAAGATAAGTTTGCATGCTCTCAAGAAGAGTGTCAGCAAACACATCCGCGCCCCGGCTTCGGTGCGGGTGGTTGGCGACAGCATGTTTCACAATGCTGTAGAAGCAGGCCATGGCGCCACCATCGTCGCGCATCCTCGCCCCCAGTGACTGCGCCTCGCACAGGAGGCAAAACACGCGCTCGGTCCGCAATAGGTAGGCAAGCAGCCGCGGCCCCCGCTGCTCCTCAGTAAGGTCGCCGCTGCCAAGGAAGTGTTCCACCGCGGCGGTGAGTCGCGCCTCCAGCAGCCCACGGCACACCTCCGCCATCGCGACGTACCCAACCTCCCTCGGGAACTCGCCCAGCAGCACGGTGCCGGCACCAGCCTGCTCCCACAGCTGCGGCGCTCCCTGCGACGGGGTCTCCACGCACGCCATGCCTTGGGCGATGCCCAGCAGCACCATGAGAGGGCCGCGCGTTGCACTCTCCTTGAATGTGGCGTCGAGGGCAAACAGCTCCTCGAGGAGCGGCCGCAGCGTCACCCGCAGCAGGTGAAAGACGTAACAGTGCTGCAGGCCTGATACGGTGTTGAGGGGCCCATGCACGGGCGCGTCAATACCAGCCTCCCACAGGAACACAAGTTTGGTGAGGAGGCCCTTCACGCCTTCCTCCACTACACCGGGCAGCTCTCGCGTCATCGCCAGCTCACTGTTCCAATACTGCGGCCACATCTTGACAAGGAACACGTGGCGTGCCTCCTCACAGGTGTGAAAGTGCAGCAGCGACAGCAGCGCTTCCCGCGGAAAGAAGCTTCGGCAGCCTTGCACGACACTCTGCAGGACTGTGGTCACGAGAAGCCTCTCCGCACCTCGTGCCGGCTGCGGCTGGAGCTGAAGAAGCTCAGCTATGGCAACAGCAAAATTCGTGGGCATCTGCCGCAGCCGCTTCTTTGGCCCCTGCAAGTCATGCAGCTGAGCGTTAGTGTTGGGGCACCCGTGGCGCACAGCACCGACGGCCTCACAGCTTGGCACGCCAAACTTCCACTCACGCCGGCTCTGCAGGACCTCCATCAGAAGACGCCGCAGAACCTGCTGCTTCGTCGGCTCATTAAGAATATGCCTCACCTCCTCGTTCATCACGTCACCACCTCCCCGCATCTCAGCTTGTCGGCTGTTTACCGGAAACAAAAATGCCACAAGCTTGGGGAGACGATGCAGTGCCTCTCGCAACTCGACAGCATGTTCTATTGCCCGCTCCACTCCTCCCTGCTCACCGTCCCGTGCTTCTGCGTCATCACAGCAGCCGCCGTCCATGTACCGCTGCATCTCGCAAAACTCGTAGGCCACCACACCCCTCACCCAGTACCGCAGGAATCCGTGAATGTCGTGCACGCCGTTGAGGGTGTGGAAGATGTACCTGTGACATCTCAGGTACTTCTCCCGCACTGCATAAAGCGCGTTCTCATTGCGACACCGCAGCAGCACCTCAAGGTTAAGCGTCACCGTGCAGAGTTCGCGGAGACACGGTAATGTCTCCAGCAGACTGGAGGCACATGGGATGCGGGGCGAGAGGGCCTGCACACCGGAGGCATCGAAGCTGGCGCGGTCCAACGCAGCGTAGGCCTCGCGGAGGCGAGTGGCGACAACTTCCTCACATGGCCGCGCTCCCGTCGTCGCCTCCTCGACGTCACCGCACGCCTCCACCGGCATCTGCGTGCGTGGCTGCTTCCCCCCTCCCCCACCCCCCACAGACTTGCTTGTGCGCCACAAGCAGCTCGACCCCAAAGCGCGCCGCCGTGAAGGTGACTCAAGTCAGAAAGAAGGGTGAACTACTGACCTGCTACAGAGTGAGTGAGTGAATAAATGGAAAAAAAAAGAATAGGCATTCCACCGCCGCATCACCGCTTTGCAAGCATGCCATCTGTATGCTCGTCAGTGTGAGGGGCGGGGGAGGCTGTTACGTGCTGCCACCGCACTTCACGTGAGGGCCCACCCTGCCGCTGAAGAAAGCCCCGCTTTTTTTTTGCTGTCAGGCCTGGCTGTTAATAGTCGTCGTGGCAACAGGAATAGCGGCGCAATAAAACGACCACCCCACTGACGCCGTGAGTGATGGCACCACCACATCACTCGCTACGCACACACGCCCGCGCGAGATGGAGAGGAAGTGCGAGAAGCGAAAGCACGCAAACAAAGTACAAACACGTGGTGGTGGTGGGGGACGAAAGAAAGGAATAACCTCGTCATGAACGCCGAGTTAAGGTAAAAACACATACACGTATCGCATTCTCACAACATGCAACTCCCGAGCATTGTGGTGGTGCCAGCACAAGTGTCGGTTCCTTCTCCTTCCCTTACGTGTCCATTCAGGTCACCAGGCCAAAATATCCCTTGCCACTGCGGCCACAGGCACGCTCTGGCGCTAACGAGGATGTCACTGCTGCCTGGTGAGGCCGTGGCCACAAATGCCCCAATCGGTGGCATGCGCGGTGCACCATCGCTCTCGTCTCAGGCGGCCATCGTTAAGGTCGTTTCAACGCCACTGCCAAACGGCACTGCATCCGAACCACGCGTAAAGTGCTCCATACCAAAGCCATTAGACGTGAAATACCGCTCGGCTAGTGGCGGAGGCGGGCCGACGCCTCTCGCTCTCGCACCATT